TCTCTCTCTCTATCTCTCTCTCTCTCCCCCCCCTCCTCTCTGTTCTTCTTCAACTTCTTGAGGGGCTTTCCAGTCATAGCTGAGTGTAATAATTAATACGACATCTGGGCGCGTGAGTTCTCCTTTAACCACTTTCTGTATTCTTCTCTTTTCTTTAGGGAGTTCTCTGTGTGGAGACAATAAAACAAAAACTCATAAGTACCCATATCATCCATTTGTGTGTGATGTGAGGAATAATCTTCAATTGATTTGTCATTAAAAATAGTTTTGTTTCTTTCTGCAGGTGCACCATTAGTTATGGATTTTGTTAAGAGAATATTTAGCATTATGTTAAGGCAGTTACTCTTGTTATCTAACATAATAAATGCAATGTTTGAACTATTATACAAAGGCTATTAAAAACTTTTGTTACGGTAAATTGTAATTATAGTACTTTTGTATACGAATATTAGATCTTTGAGTATACATTTCAGAATTACAATTGTTTTATGACGAATTGTATGTTTATAGGTCTATCATCTAAAATAAGTTTTACTGAAAGTAACAATTCACTTTTTTTGTGATCAGCTATTCATTTTTCCCACCATTCATATAAGGGCACAGGTACACTTTGTGTTTATCACCTATAACAAGAATAAGTGTGAAGAGATAAATGGTGGAGGTCAATGTCCAGGTGTTTCCCAAAGAACCAACATTATACCAATTCATAGTGGACCCCTGCCTCATCTCTGATGTTAAAATGAGCTGTTTTCTGCCTGACAATTAAGTTGTGATTGAATGTCTCCCTCTAGAGGACAACAGTGGCTCTACACTGGGAGTAAAATACAACTTTCCCCCAAGTTTGCAAAACTGTACTTCCAAACAAAGTTATAGTAGAAATATGATACATAAATGAAAAAACAAAAAAAATTAAAAGTTTCATCAATTCCTGCACTGGACAAAAATTATGAACATGGTTTTGGAAAATAATCCAAATCTGTTTTTGCAAAAGAACAACTCTGCATTTGTTGGGAATTAAGAATCCACATGACAAAATTCGAAGTGTTAGCCATGGCATGGATATTTTTTTAATGTGTCTATCATCCACATAGAGTGTAATAAAGAACACGTTTTTGTGAGAATAACCGGGCACATTTTTGCGAAAGAGACAGTTGGTCTCTCCTGGGCTGCCGTACTTTCTGAGGTCACATGATTTTGTTTACGAGAAAGTAGCGAGCCACTATACAACTATTAAACATCCATGCTTAGCACCAATTCAACAAATATATTAAAGGAAGCATTTAGGTACAAATGCGGTGTTATATATCGTTCTTTATAGGAAGCAAGAGTTAATTTTAGCCCCTTAACATATGAGCTAAAGTTAGCTGAGCTAGCTTTGAGACTCAGGAACAATTTTTGCCTTTTCTAACTGTAATGTAAACAGCAGCTGTCCACATGTTTAAATACAGTTTTCATTAGAAGATATGCGATCTGTAAACTACGTCCAACGTGTCAGCTTGGACTTTTCAGGGACTCTGTTTCCTCATGCTATATGTCTGGGAGATGCAGACAACGACTCGGTAAGTAATATGACTTTTTTTTATTTAAGATGAATCTGTTTATTGCTTGTGAATTATAATGATCACTGTAACACCCAGAGCTGAAATTAAGCGTGTTTACTTGTGGGTATCGAGCAACGTAAACAAACGAACTTGGACAACGATGCTTAAATGCAAAAATCATTTGCTTTGGTGTAAAGCTGTGATACTGCAATACTTTAAATGCACTGTTGGTTTTTTCTCTGCATAGAGTAGGGTAGGCTATCAAGATGTTTTATCTTTAGAAGCTTACTTTTTTATTTTTAAATGTTGAAATATAAGTACTTGAAGGCCTCCTAATTGGACCAATATTCTGTTTGTAACAAATGTGTCTCTTTTTCTTGTCTTGACATTCTTGTTATAACACTTTTAACAACCATTTTCACAGCTGTTCTGACAAAAAGGCAATTGTGAGACATTATCTTTGGCTATATGAAACTTTGATTAAGTTGTTTCTCAATTCTTTGAATGTTTTGTAACCAAAATATTAACCACTTAACCAATATGGAATAGTGGTGGAAAAACAGCCCTCCATTTTATTTGTATGTGCTGATGTACATTAATAGTGCTAGTACTTAACCCACACTCTTTTAAAAAACATGAGGTGTAGTCTGCATATTGACCTTTTCGGTGAATGCACCTGAATATGNTTTAAATGTACAAACATTTATTTTCAGCCCTGAGAATAAGTTTGTTTTTCTTCAAATACAAAGTGTTGTTTTTGACTTCTTTTAGACATCAAGAGCAAGGTCCATATGTCCGCTGGCGCATCATAAACACGTCGGATAGTGAAAGTGCAGTCGGATTCTCTAAAGTACCTCAGTCTCTTCTCCTAAGTCCTTTTTAATTCTCCTATCCACTATCCCTTAACGTTTCACTCAGAGGTCAAGGAATAGACGATAGGGTTAGATGATAGGAGCTGATTTTTGGACTATCCGACCGCAACCCCTCTTCTGCGATGGCTCGTCATGCTGTCAGTGAGATGGACTTGTGAGAGTATTATATTGACAGCCAAAGTCTGAAGTGATGATAACCCAGTGGATCCTCTGCTTTAAATATTGATGCAGTCTCCAGCTGGAGGATCTACACTGACAGACACTGGTGTTTGCAGGGGGGGGGGGGTTACCACAAATAGCATCACTACTACTGCAAATACAGCAAGAGGCGCACAGACAAATAGCTCCCATAGAGTCAGAAAGTACATTTTGCTAAGCAACCTTTTTAGATTAAGGTTCTTTCATATGTAGATTATAAAAAGGCGGAAATATATATTGTATATTTTGAAGTCATACATATTTAAGAGTGACTCATTGATTGGACAGTTTTCATGCCTGCTATCCTGCAGAATCAGCCCCATGTGAAGCGAGGAAAACAAATATGTAGACTAATGGCCAATTATGGAGCTGATGAGTGGGCATGTGTCTGTTTTAAGGGCTTCAAGTCATTTTGTTTCCATAAATGGTTAATCTGTAGGTTTTCTATGTTATTGGATTAATTATATGGATAATAAAATGTCTGAAAATAGTAAACAATGTCTATTCCAGTTACTCAAAGTCCATGGTGATGATTTTTCATTTCTGTTTAGTCACTTACAAAAACCTAAAGTTATTCATTATCATTAATAGTTGAAGATAGTTTTTTAGTGGATGTACTAATCAATAAGTCAACTTATCATTGTAGCTTTATTATTCATATTCACCCGTGTGACAAACAAATGACAAAACTAAATCAACTCTTTAGTCAAATTTACCAGAGTTCATTTGAACTGAAGTAGCCAAGTAAGGAAACATGACAAATATATTCATCTTACAGCCAAAAAGAGCCATTTTTTTAAATGAATGACTTACCATCTAACGTACAGAGAGCAAACAGCCCACATTTAGACGACTCCTCTTTTGAACCTGATGAAAAACAAAGAAAGAAATGTATAATAAGATTATGGTTGCCACTCTTTAATTGATTTATATTAAGTGTTGTTTATAGTAAAGGAACATATAGATGACTAACTGGCAGTACTGTTCAGTACCTTTACTGATGCTGCCGATCAGGTGCGTGGAGACATTCTTGTTGTGTATCCGCCCGGTGGACAGATGGAGAACAACATCTCTGGAGGGTCCCTCACTGTGAGCAAACGGAATTAAAGCATGTTTAATATCAGTTTCTCACGTCTACACCTCTCTAGCTTTTGTCTGAACAGTGTCTACCTCCCGGGGGTGGGGGGGGCCTCCTCCCCCGAGCTACAGGAGTCCTGCTGGGTCCAGGAACACAGCAGAATGGCGTACCCGCAGCCGGGCTGAGACACCATCAGCTCCGGCAGACCCTCCGGACCGGGGTTCACCGACAGACTGTCCACCTGCACCACAGACAGTACAATAACCACTGAATGTATCTTTGATGGAATGAATGGTAAGATAATAATACTACAGGATAAAAAAGTTAAATAATGTCCAAAACAAGTTAGAAAAGCCCAGGGTGATGTCTTCTATTGATTAGATCATTGAAGGTTAATACACAATCCAAATGCTTTTAATTCATTTAGGATACATGCATCCAAAATGTGTTCCACTGTAACATAAGTCCAACATCTTCTCATGTTTAAAATACTAAATGGAAAAAAAATACACATTTGGTTAGTTTTTGATTGCTTTGACATTTTTTTATTTAGACGTTATAAATATGTTGAATGAAGGCATGACACAATCACACTGTCCTTATGAGTCGACTGACATTTGATAAATACTGTTGTGTTAACTACCAGCCCTTTATCCATTTAGTATACAGCAAAAATGTTTGTCTGATAAGTTCTCCGACTGTACCATATGTTCTGTTTGTTCTATTAAAAAACTACATTACGCCGTTTTAAGGTTTGCACCTTACATTTTCAGTCACCATATGTTGAGATAATAATGAGATGCAGTGTACCTGCCCCTCCAGAAGCCATTTCTTTAGCAGAACCAGCTGACCGGTTCCCGTCTCTGAGCCCTCAGTCGGCTCCTCCCAGCGGAACGCTCTCACCACCCGGTCTGTGTATCCCACCACCAGCTCATTGCGGCCATCTCCATCTACAACAAAGACACAATCTGTAGCCAGACTCACAGAGCAACACACACTTAACAAATAACATATAAGAGAGTTATTCACCAATATCGCTTATGAGGATGACTTTAGTGTTGGCGGGAATATGTTGGGTGAAGAGGGGCTTCTGGTCATCGGGGGACATGAATTCATGCTGACTGGATGAATCTGATTTACTAGCAGAGGCAGCTGTCAGGTCGAATAGGTGGAACCAGCCCTCCGCACCAACGGCCACCACAAAGTTCTGACAAATAGAGAGGAGAGCACAATGTTAGGAACATAACCCACAACATATTCACAACAATCTGCTGCTGATCATGTATCACTTTATAACTTACCCTTCCTTTGTTGCACACATCTCCAACTGCAACGCAGGTCAGCTGGCAAAATAAGACACATTTTTATGAGAGAAAGAAATACACTTTATTAAACCATAAACGTTCTCTGGTTTCTGTACTGACCATGCCCACACAGCTTCTTGTGACCCAGGGTTTGGAGTCATCGTTCTTGTACACAAACAGCTTCCCGTTGGTGTCTCCTACAACCAGCTCGTTCAGCTGCAGTGCATGGAGACAGAACGCACATTTGTTATACTGGTACATTAAAGTTATTTTAATAGGGGTTTAGGTCCTGTTTAAACCATGTGTTTCAGGTGTTTCATCAAGGAGACAAAATCAATATCAAAAGCTGCATGGACACATTACATTACATTACATTATTACATTGCATTTAGCTGACGCTTTTATCCAAAGCGACTTACAATAAGTGCATTCGACCAGGAAGATACAACCTTTAAGAAAACAGAATCATATAAGTACATCAGGTTTCATAGAGCCAAACANAAAGCATAAAACAACTGCATCAGAGCACGGTGCATAGTCTCTAGATGAGTCAGTTTTCTATACAACGGACTACAACATGGATGTTTAATAAGAACGAGGGACTCATCTAGAGACTATGCACCGTGCTCTGATGCAGTTGTTTTATGCTTTATGAACGTGGACAACAGAGAAACATATCCTTCATGACCAAAGTTTGAATTGAAATAAAAAAGGAAAGTGAAACTTATGCTCGTCACCCTCTCCCTCCGGTCCACATTAATACAAATGATCCCAATACGTATGATTGTATGAACTATGAAAAGATCTTAAAATCAAAAGAAATGTATTTATTATAAACGTTAGTCCTTAAAATCTATCACTGTGTATATCACCATTCAAACATCTTTTAAAAGTTGAACAAACCCCACACAGCTCAGTAAAAACTGTGAAATGTTGACTTTATTTGATCATTTCAGTAAAAACTAACGTTCATATTTCTCNAATACGTCAAGAAGTATGAAAAGAGTATTTAAATGTACAAACATTTATTTTCAGCCCTGAGAATAAGTTTGTTTTTCTTCAAATACAAAGTGTTGTTTTTGTACTTCTTTTAGACATCAAGAGCAAGGTCCATATGTCTCTGACTTTTAAAACGTACACATCTATAATTATGGAGCTACATGATTCTTAAAAAAGGACACAGGAGAACTAATTGAACCCAAGTCCACTTCTGTTTCCTCTTGTAATGAATCTTCAACCTGAAATGGTTTATAACTCCCTGGCTGCAGTCGAATAGTCCATTTAGCTTAGGACCTTCCTAACGGAGTGACATGACCCGGAAGTCCCTCAGTGGCCGCCATGATAAGTGCCGTTAGAATTCTCTAGATCATAGGAAAAGAGGTTCCAAACTTCCTTTATAAACTCCTTTACCTTAGGAACCACTGGACCTCCCTTGACAAAAGGAGAGGGGAAAATGCTGCCCCACAATGCCTTGCGGGCGGCCGCAGCATTTGCCGTCACACAACAGTCGGCCTTTCACGGAAACCGATTATGACCGANAAAGTTACGGTGCTTATTAAGCATTTTAAAACGTATGTGGTAACTTGCCAAAGTGCTTTGTTTTGAACGTTCATCAGTATTATAATCAAAAAGAGAAATTATTTCTCTTTTTGATTATAATACTGATGAACGTTCAAAACAAAGCACTTTGGCAAGTTACCACATACGTTTTAAAATGCTTAATAAGCACCGTAACTTTCATGATATCATTTCTCGGTCATAATCGGTTTCCGTGAAAGGCCGACTGTTGTGTGACGGCAAATGCTGCGGCCGCCCGCAAGGCATTGTGGGGCAGCATTTTCCCCTCTCCTTTTGTCAAGGGAGGTCCAGTGGTTCCTAAGGTAAAGGAGTTTATAAAGGAAGTTTGGAACCTCTTTTCCTATGATCTAGAGAATTCTAACGGCACTTATCATGGCGGCCACTGAGGGACTTCCGGGTCATGTCACTCCGTTAGGAAGGTTCCTAAGCTAAATGGACTATTCGACTGCAGCCAGGGAGTTATAAAACCATTTCAGGTTGAAGATTCATTACAAGAGGAAACAGAAGTGGACTTGGTTCAATTAGTTCTCCTGTGTCCTTTTTTAAGAATCATGTAGCTCCATAATTATAGATGTGTAGTTTTAAAAGTCAGAGACATATGGACCTTGCTCTTGATGTCTAAAAGAAGTCAAAAACAACACTTTGTATTTGAAGAAAAACAAACTTATTCTCAGGGCTGAAAATAAATGTTTGTACATTTAAATACTCTTTTCATACTTCTTGACGTATTCTTTATTTATAATAGATGCACATACAAAATGATAAAAAGTGCTTTGCTAGATACTTACCTCTCTTTGAACATGTTCCAGGCACCCTGAAGCTGATGGACAGCTCGGAGCAGCTGCTGTGGTCGGTCCAGGTGGATCATCAGCTGTTCGCTCTGCAGAAACTCGACGTCACTGTGAGTCCGTGTGAATTAAGATACAATTATTTTCAACTTCTGATTTAAAATAGACTTTAACAGCAGTCAAAATCGTATTAATGCTGTTTTCACTCCTCCCCTTGCTGCAGTTATGTATAGTTGTATTCTCTGACATCGCTATTAGCACACATGTGACCACTGAGAGGCTTAAACCTTTCTGAGAGGGCAGTTAAACACTTGTATTCCTCTTTAACGATGAATCACATTTTAATAGTGATTGTTCAATCACCATTTAACATCAGCATTTCAAGTAGTTTGGAGAGGCTCTTCTTGTTTAGATAATCACGGCGAGGATGTGTGTGTTGTCAGGGAGACGGCAGAGAGGAGGTGGTGGCGTGTGCCTGGGACGGTCAAACATACATCATCGACCACAACCGGACCGCGGTACGCTTCCAGTTCGACGAGAACGTCAACGCCTTCTGTGCGGGTGAGAGACCTAATCATATTTCTGTTTTTATAATCAAATGTTAAACAGCCTAAAATCACCAATTAAACATTTATCTCAGGTGAATTCACAGTGTGTACAGCATACCACACCCTTTGGTCTTACCATTTCTTTACATTACATTTCATTAAGCTGGCACTTTAATGCAACCAAGACCAAAAGGCAAGAATACTGCACGTACATTTCAATAAGTACAGTGGAAAACCTTATTCGGCTTGTATTTTCAAGAAACATATATTATAAACATAACTTTATCAATTTACAAACATATAAACTCTAAGTTAAGAATACCATTACATTCTGTTACTTATGTTATCTTGGATAACAACCTAAAAAGGACACCTTTGACTCCAAAGTTCATTGCATCTTCTTTTATAAATGTGACATGTTCCCAGAACGTGTTTATCTTATTAACTCGATGGAAACATGCTCCCTTGCATATTCCACATTTCAAACAGATATCTGGGTTGTTATTATTGCATTTAGCAATTAGCTTCTCTGCAGTAATATCAGACACCAGTAGGTGGCGTCTTTTGCTTTGGTTTCACCCAGGTCTTGTTTTCTCTCTCTGTCCTTTTCAAATATCTCTGCAGTGTTTGAACAAGCCACAGTTTATTGAGAGAGCTAATATGACACACAGACAGTAGTTAGTTGTGTGTGTGTGTGTGTGTGTGTGTGTGTGTGTGTGTGTGTGTGTGTGTGTGTGTGTGTGTGTGTGTGTGTGTGTGTGTGTGTGTGTGTGAACAGTTAACCCCTCCCGTCCTCTCTCCTCTCTGCTGCTCTGTGAACATCAGAGCAGATTGGATGGTGTTTTCTGTGTTTGTCTGGAAGCTGCCACAGAGACACATTAGCATCCAGGCGTTGCTGATGTGTTCATTGGGATTCACGTAGCACTATATCACAGCTTTGCTTCCAACTATTTATCTAATTACTTTTTTTCAGAACAAAAGCAATTTTATTTCTTCTGCTGCCCACTGATTTCTTTCAAACAATTAATAACATTTTACATTTGGAGAGTAAAATGGGCAATACAAGTAGAGAGAAGACTTGACAGGAAATTATTTGAACACTACATTAACAGGAGATACATATACAAGCATAACATATGTCCAGTAAGGTCTTATATATTTAACCCAGAAAATGAGAAATGTTATTTACCGTATCTATATATTATCCTCGGTACAGGATTACATTTTACATTCTGTTTTATATAATTATTTCTAACCTAGTATTGTTATTCATACATTTCACTGTCCCCATTGTATCACCTGCAGACATTTTCTACTGCACTATTTGACTTAAAAACTCCTGAATTGTGGAGGTTCACAAAGAGACTAGGTTCTTTTGAGTGCTTAATGATGTGAAAATACCCAAAACATATTCATGATGACGCATTGCCTGAAAAAAATGCAGACATTTCCGAGGGTGGATCTGTGTTATGTATGCTTTTCAGTGCCCTCTGAAACTCTGCCCAGAAAGGTTTTATCAGTGGAAACTCCCAGAAAATATGCCCGTGAGTGACTTCCTGAAACCCCCATTTGGTATCTCTTACAGCAAAATGTGCTCTCTGCTTGGATATTATAGGAATCAAAAGATAGTTGTATGTGTCATACGGACCCTAGCTACAGTGTAGTTATTGGCAATGGAAATCTTAAGTCCCAGGCTTTTCAACATTTTAACATTTAATATACAAAAATATATACATCAAAAGTGCAAATGGTGCAAGAAAGAATCCTGGAAAAAAGTATATGAACAGAAAGTCAAATTGGAATAAAAATACCACTTATTGTTATAATAATATATAAATGTGTGGGTTTTAAACAGATGAATATGAAGACACTTCACAGAGCGTTCAGAAACTAATGAAACATTTCCACCCTGCCTGCTTCATATTGAGTCAAATGTTTATTTCATGTGTAGTAAAGAGGCTCCTGTGTGACTGTCTGCAGGTCAGTACACCTGTAAGGAGGGGAAGAACAGCCCCTGTCTGGTGTACGTCAGCTTCAATCACAAAATCTACATCTACTGGAAGGTGGAGCTGGAGCGCATGGAGTCCAGCAACATGCTGCGAGTGCTGGAGGACAATCCCGAGTTTAAAGAGCGTCTGAAGCTGCTGGGAGTCGGTGAGTAGAGTCAGTCATTAGGAAGATGATCAGCTCTGATTGGAGCATCCTTCAGCACACTCACCCTGACAGCTCCTCTGCTTGTTGTTTTAAATTGGACACACACTAACTGTGGCTCTTTGTAGTCAATTAGTCAGACATCCAGTTATACTCAGACCCTGACCTGAATACTAATGAGGAGGGAAGAGTAAAACAGTCCCAACATGACAGATTTGTACTGCTTGCATGAAGTCTCTCACGCAGCAACAATATTCACCAATGTTCTCGCATTCAATCCATTCCTCTTAGATAATAATAATAATCCTTATAGCTTTATCAATGACTCAAAGCGCTTTACAGATACACATACATGTAATGGTCATACAATACCCATAGGAGCAATTTCAAGTGTCTTGCCCAAGGACATAATGGCTTTACAGACGCAGCGGGTTTCACCCCCTTGATCTGATCATCATTGCACAGCGCACTGCGCCACACCGGCCATCTTCACACCTCAAAGTCATCAAGGCGCTTTTACAAGTACACATTGATATTATACATGTACTGTGGACAATACTCACAGGAGCAAATTCGGGTGAAGTGTCTTGCCCAAGGACACAACGGCCTGACGCAGTAGCGGTGGGAGCGGGTTTCGAACTGGAGCTCCCCAACGCCCCCTTGATCTGATGATCAAACGCACAGACCACTGCGCCACCCGTCCACTGAAGATGTTATGGTACTACAAGTATCTTTAGATGCGGTCATTTGTTTTTCTCTCCATCCATCTGAAATATCTCAAAAACTATTGATGCAATGCCATAAAATATTGGTTCAGACATTCTCTTTTCCTTTATTTCATTTGAATATTTATTAGGTTTTTGTGTATACAAACACAAGTATTGTGAAATAAACGTGTGACATTTTTACAATCAGAAAAAGGAAACAAATAAAAGAAAAACAGAAGAGCCATGGTTGCCGTAAAGAAATCTAGTATTTTGAAATGTATATATAAGTTAGTCCTTAAGCATTTTCAATAAATCCTACATTTCTTTCATTTACTGACACAAGCCATTTCTTTTTGTTTGAGCTGAAAATTATTTTTTCTCCCCATAGTTTTCAATCTTTCTTATCATTTATCAACATTGTTTTATCTGGATTCTCCTTAACACATCTAAACACAAACGTACAGGGAAAGATCAAATATCTAATTCACTCATCATAACCCTTAAATCCAAAGACTGAAGTATTCTTAGAGAGGCATTAAACACAGAAGCTGGAAAATTGCATTCATGCCGTCCGGCTTCTTTCCAAACACAATCCTCCTGACTGACACTAAGTCCATACGTTGGTTAATGATTGTGAATGCACACAAAGGCTATTTATTTCCTGTTCATTTCCTGAAATCTGAATTATCATACAAATTAGTCTTTTTTGTCTGCATGGATGACCAGCTAGCAGACCGCATCATGTCACAAGAGCAAAGCTAAATGAGTGGAAACCCATGTAGTGTGGAAAAAACGATGATGACACACATCACATGATCAGTAGGAGAAGACGTTCCAGCTGATTTTGTGAAGCCTTGTGATGGTGTTAGCGAGCTTCCTGCTGCCTCTGTTAATAATTCAACCTCTGGGCCTGTTGTGTTTCTGTTGACCCGGATTTCATGGGCTTGTTACCTAACCCAGGGTGGAAAATGTGTGGTGTTGCAATCCAGGTACAAAATAATGAGAGGAAGACATTTTACTACAAAATAAAACCAGGAGGATGGGATATTAGGATTTGCATCTTTGAAGAATAACAATGAGGAATGTCAACGAAGGCGAGATAAAAGAGGCTTGAAGTGCATTTAATATCATTTGCAGTCTTAGTAGCTCTCAGTTTCTTCCCTGCTGTTTGTTTACCTTGAAAATAGTCAGTTAGTGAAAGGGTGATGATGAGGAGTCTATCAGTTCTTCATCACAATCTGGGAAGGTTTCTGAACGTAGACACTTGCTGCTATGTTCAGCTGGTTTCCATTAGTTTCTCTATAGCTTACAATGACATACTTGGGCTATTTGAAGTATATGTATGGTCATTTTCAGACACAGAATTTCCAAGATTAAATTCACAAATATACGTTAAAAAAACTCTTAAGGATCCAGATTGCTTTAATTTGCAAGCTTTATCAACCTCATTAACAGGGAATGCCACATGCACAGTGAAGTGAAGCGATGTGACAGTAGGAACATGAAGATATCCTTCATCTGTCCACTGTATGATCGTTTCTGATGCACAACAGCGTATTCACTCATCTATGTTAGTGTTTCGTTTCCCTTCTGAATAGGCCAAATTCGCGGCAAAGTATTTCCTTATTGATAAATCAAATTGCAAAGTTACATTTGATGAGTTAATCCCATAAAGGCATGATAACCAACAAGCTGGTGTCAGTTTGATTCAACCAGTAAACTGAAGTGCTGTGGCTCTAGCCAAACGAAACACAATGTTTTCATTCTTTTATTCGTTAATTTGGGACTCCGATCTCAGAAATGCGTAGTTTTCTTAACCAGTTTGCCTCCCTATCAAAGAAGAACAAGCTTTAACCGGTGAGAAAGTCCCCTTAATGTTTATCCTGTCACAAAGTGTGAGTGTTTGTGTTAACGTTTGTGTTTTCCTCCACAGATACTGAGGACCCGGCAGCAGTTAGAGCAGCGGTGACAAATGTTCTCTACAACGATTTGCACCCTTAACACACACATCGACACACACATCAACACACACATCGACACACACATCGACACACACATCGACACACACATCGACACACACATCAACACACACATCGACACACACATCAACACACACATCGACACACACATCAACACACACATCGACACACACATCGACACACACATCAACACACACATCGACACACACATCAACACACACATCGACACACACATCGACACACTGCTGTCCCTGTGTCCCCCTGCCTGTAAATACTCTGTTAATAAACACTGGATGAATGTGTCCTGTGCCGCTTGTTATTGTGTTCCCAGCAGACGGACGTGTCAGGTTCAGGTTTCTGATCCGCTCGCTGCTGGCTGTACGAACTGCCTCGCTCATCGCTATTCATTAACCCAGGTTGCTGAGGGAGGAGAACAGCATGAGGTACAATGGAGGGGACATTTGGAAAACAATGTTGACTGAGTGAGGAGAATCAGCGTTGGCATTATGCTGCTGTCTAAAGTGCACATTCTTTCTGTTAACCTTCTTGCATTAAGTCCTGAGAGTGCAAACTGAGTCTTCCAGGTGGAGAATTAGGTATTTAAAAGTCTTAATTCTCACTTACTAAAGGTATTGCTGTAAGAAGCATGAAGATGCAAACAATCCTCGTCATCACTATTATATAACCTTGCATTTTGGCCTTCTTGACTAAATCGCCATTGCAATATAGTGCGAAATTGGAACTTAGAAAACAAAGTATGCATTTTTAAATGCAGCCGTCATAAGGTTGTCTTTTGTCTTAGAACTGTCTGCAGCTCAGTCCATATGATGTGTCTGATGTGGGTCATAAATAGCTCGAAAATCATGCTGTCTGCAGTATTCTTTGATAAAATGCATTTGACTTTTGGGCTGTATAAAGCTTGACGGCTATCATGATGTATATTTGCTTCACTAATACGGAGGTTAAAAGAAATGTGTGTGAGTGAGACGGAGTTAAAAGTAAAGACAGAAGCAGTCTGGTTGGTCACACACATTCAGTAAATATTAATTATCAATAACCTAAATACATTATTTATTATAACAAGTCAATGTTAAAGTTACATGCAATTCAAATACTTGACCCTGGGAGGAATTGTGTTGAAGAACACCAGAGAAACATTTGTTAAGAAATTATCATTTGAAATTGTGTTTTACAAATAATGTTTATAGTTATTTTCTCATTCCTCCATTATCCAATTTTATATAAAAAATGTAATACCACGAAACCGTGACAGTTTATAAAATGCTAATCTCTGCATTCAAGTCGGCGACCCTTTTCTGGTGAAAAAGATCAAACGTGTATGCAATTACCCACTTTCTTTTTATCCTGTGAAGCCTTTTAGCATTTTCTTTTATCTAGTGCAGGATCCCAAAGATATAAGGCACTTCAGATGTTACATAATACACATTTATTTACACGGCAGCAGTGTTGTCAGTCAGCGCCTGCAGGGTGTGACGATGAGTTAGTGAGGGATTCACCCACTGTACCCGATGGGGGATCCTATAACCATCCATGTACACTGCCTCTCTTTCTCTCATGCAATATAAATTAGAGTGTGTGTGTAAAGGGTAAACACAGGCTCAGGTGTCCTGTAGCCCCTCATCTCTCTGGTGTTTCTGCCCTTTAGACTAGAGGACCTGCCAGGGGAGACTTCACATATAGAACGACAGAAGCGCCACAGATCAAAATGTTTAGTCACCTTTTGTTTGTGCCACTTGTTTTTTGACAGAATTAAACCTCAAATGTAATATAAAGCCGTAAATCAAACAGGAGTGTACAAAAATAGGCTTTACCATTTGTTTTTTATTATATCGTAATGCATGCCTTAATAGAGCTCAATAATTACCTACACAATTATAAGAGCATTGGCACTAACACCAGCACTTAAAGGGTTATTAATTACTGTTTCATCTTTGTACATCATAAAACAAGCTAGTTTTTTGTAATGTACGCTGTGATAAATTATGATTCACCTCACAAATGTTGGAGCGTCCTCATGTGAAGCCGTTTTCTACGTGAGCCGATGAAAAGTTAACCATGGTACTTCCTGTTGTATCACACAGTCAACACATTCAGCTGCTGCTTGTCCTTATAAGAGCATTCCTGTGCAGTAAGCTCAGACCAATGTGTGTTTATGACCATTAATGGGCACGTAGCGCCAGGCCATTGACCGCGTTGTTGTTCTTATGGATTCTATCAGTTTTCTATGGATTTAGGTCTGTTAGTTTGGACTCGTGTGTGTTTTAAAGTGGACCTATCATGCTATATTGGAAAAATATATTGTAGGACCATACCTATAAAAAACATGTCTGAAGTTTTTTTTTCAAAATACCAAACGGATCACCCATTGTAGCCATGCCTCATACTGCTCATACCCCTCTTTTGCAGCCCTGTTAGAGAAACGCGGATCTTGGGTCCTTAGCTTGAAAAAAAGAAAGAAGAGGAGGCGGAGATAATGCCTGATCAGAATTCTACCGGAGATAAAGTTACATTCTGCTGTAATAAAACGCCATCCTGTTTAAACCACATCAAGGATTATTTCTGAAACAGTATGGAGCTCAAATNACACACACACACACACACACACACACACACACACACACACACACACACACACTACCCCCCACCCCTTTCCAGGTGGTGAGTTATTGTGTGTTAAGCCAGTTGTCATGAAGCACACGCCAT